GCGCGGGGCTCCCTCCGGAGATCGCGTCTGGCAGCGGGTAGCGCGGTCCTGCCTTAATCGGCTGGGCAAAATAGGTGAGTTTCCGGTGATGGATAAAACTGTGAATGACTGGTTTGCAAAGTGGTAGCATGTGTTTTTACCAAATCTACAGATACAGAAGAAGAAAGGGGGAGGGGGGAGGAAGTATCAAGCAAAAACATACCTGCTCATCATGTTTGAAGTATATATTTTTTTTATTTGTACTATTCTTTTAAGTATAAATCATCTCAAGAAGCATACTGATTATTTTCTGAATGATCTAATTCATACATACCTATTATAGATATCTGCATTTAATAGCTTTCTCTCTCCACAAACCAAGCAAACAGCCATAAATTCAGCACCTAAGTTACGGAATTTCAGATCCCCCAGGCTCGCTCTTTCTTAGACAGCTGTTTTTTTGTAGGCAGAGATAAAAGTCTAATTGCAACACTGTGGCCCAAGAGCTTGCTGCATTAGTATAGTAATGCTGATTTCCCAAATCTGGATTAAACAATCTCAGCAGACCATCAGCAGTTGAATACTCTGAGAAGATGAAGGAAACCTTCCTACTGCTCCATTTTGGGCAAAGGCCATTTGGGATGTTTTGTCCTGGTCTAGGGTCCACATCCAAAGCTAAGATTTATACATTGAATACATGATCACGTGTGTCTGGCTATACTGATACTCTGTAGAGATATATATGTCTGCAGAAATTCAGAGTAGGATTACAAGACATATTCTTCGTGTAGCTGAGATACAGGAGCAATAAGGTATTTGAAGTGATTATTTGGGATTGTGCCTGTTTTTCCTGGCTTTTAATTTGTTTAATATATCCTACCCTAAAGGCATTACTGGAAATTTACAAGGGACAAAAATTCTCCTTAGAGATAGCACTCACACTGGATTGCTACCTAAAAATCTGGCTCTTCTCCTTCTCGTGTCTCGAATGCTACTTTTTTCAGAACCTGTTTTAGCATTTTTACAGGATCACAGACCACTTTGCAATAATGTAAATGAACAATCCCTTTAATGCATTGAGAAGATA